TCCCTTTTAAAATGAAGTAAACTCATAATAATCCAGATGTAATTTACACTTGCCATTGCAACCTTTTACTCCAGCCTAGAAGAGTAGAGTTGGAAGAATTCCTACAGAAAAAACTCATTGTGGTCCGTTAAGTGTTTCTTTTTAGACATTTTTTTGGCAAGTGCATTTGTTCATGGCTCCACACGGCATGGCTACAATAATTTTACCAGAAGACTGAAAAGATGTTAAGCGAGCTGAGGAAGCTTGGGTGGGGTGGGATTCCCTGCTGAACCATCCCTGATGCGGTGGCAGCTAAGTGGGGACCGGAAGCCCCTGCAGAAGCTGGGCGAAGAGGAGGGAGGGGGTGGAGCCACAGAACCCGTGAAGGCCCAGAGGCAGGAGGGAGCTTTACACTTTGGAAGGGATGAAAGATGGTCCATGTGTCCAGACCCACAGTTCTCAGATGTAGCGCATGTTAGAGCCACCTAGAAAGCTGTTAGGTCTCAGTCCCCAGGCCTTGCCCCAGACCGAGTCAATCAAACTCTAGGTGTGGGGCTGAGACCTGGGCAGCTTGTAAAGCTTCCAAGGCTGTTCCAATGCGCAGGCCGGTTGGGACCAGTGGACAAGGAATGATGTAGCGAAGGAGGGAGCGGTAGTGGGAGACGTGACTGGAGGCCTCTGGGCTGGGGTAATTGTTTTGGAATGTTTCCAAAGAGGAAAAATTCATTTTAAAGGCTTGAAGCAGGGAATGATATGATCTGATTTGCTCCCCTGAGATCACTCCGGCTGCTGTGATGAGAATGGATCCAGAGAGAAGAGCAGATGCAGCAGGAAGAGTTGCAAACGTCCAGGTCAGAGAGAGTGGTGGGGAGGGATGATGGTAGCAGAGGTGGAGAGATGCGGACGCATGTAAGACATACAGGTGGAATTCACAGGATTGGGGATTGATTATGAGGGGCCAGAGAAGAGGACACATCATGGACGACCCCCCTCTCCCATCCCGGGGTCTGGCACCAGCAACTGAGGGGCGGGGCCGACATCCCCTGGGCTGCAGAACAGGGAGAATGGGGAGGAGCAGGCTTGGGGTGCCGGGAGGACATAAGGGGTTCAGTTTTGAACATTCTGAGCCTGTGAGACAGCGAAGGGGAGAAGTCTAATGTGGGAATGGTTGGCCTGTGTGCGTCAGAACCAAGGCCACGGCGGCGGGTGAGGTTGCCGAAGAGAAAGCCGCGTGAGCAGGGCAGTGCGCGCCTGGGGAGGCCGGGGCAGGGCGCGCAGCGAGGCGCCGGCGGCAGCGGAGGGCCCAGCGAAGTGCAGGGCGTCGCTCCCGTTACAGGGAGACCGTGAGGAGGGAGAGATCGTGGGCTGGTCGGAGCTAGGAAATGCCTGGTGAAAATAACCGGGCCTGGGTGGGTAGGTAAGATTCAGTTAGGCAGGGAGGAGACAATCCTGGGGAGAGGAAGGAGGAGGAGGAGGTATAGGAAAATGCAGAGAGAGGAAGGCATGAGGTGTGCGGGGCGCCAGTCACCATGCGCAGGCCACTGGGATCCGAGGAGAAGCAGGTCGTGTAAGGTCTGGTTAGCAGGTGGATGGTGACTTTGGGGATTGACTTCTTTAGTCTTCCTCTTGCTTGTCTCTTTGAAAAATTTCTTTAAATGTATTTTTCAGTTGCGGTTGTCATACAATATTATATTAGTTTCAGGTGTACAACATAGTGATTAGACATTTATGTACCTTACTATGTGACCATCCCAGCAAGTCTAGTGCCCACCTGGCACCATGCATAGTTATTACACTGTCGCTGACAATATTCCCTATTCTGTATTTTACATCCCCTTGACTTTTTAACTGCCAATTTGTACCTAATCCCTTCGCCTTTTTTCACCCAGTCCCACACCCCTATCCATCTAGCGACCTCCTGCTTGTCTCTATCTCGCATCCATCTGACTTTCCTCTAATCCCGACTTCCCTCTATGGGAGAGCAGACACGACACTGCACAGCTGGCTTCTTGCTTTGCCTCCCTGGGCGTGCCTCAGTGCAATCAAAGCCTTTGTAATATTTGCGGCAACATCATCAAGGTGAACACGGAGGGTAGCCAGCTTTGCCGTGGAGGAGACAGCATTCACTCCGGGCTTGAATGGAGGGCTTGCTTCCTTCCCTCCAACTTCAGGAGCCTCGGAGCGCCCAGCTGCCGTGTAATTGACACTCCGTTTCTTTCCTTATGTTCTCTTACAAGAAAAAGCACAAACAGGCTTTTCTGAGAGGCTAGCTGCCAGTAGTTATCTTTCCTGAGTGGGCTCATAAGTAGAGATTCTTTGGAGAGAGGTGTGTAAAATCAGCACACGAGCCAGCATTTTGCATGCGCAGTGAAAAAGATGTGGCTGCATTATTCAGTTTCCCTGTTTGACTTCCTTACCGAGCTGTGCTTCAGGAAAGGGGGTGTCGATGAGCACATTTCCCAAGGAAAGCGATCCGCACCAAGAGGAGGTTCAAAGGTGCCAGTTAACCCTTTGCCACATTGGCTGCTCCTTCAGTTCTCTGCCCAAAGTGTTTTGAGCTACTGTGTCACTTCAAGTTTTCCTGTGAGAGGTGAAATAATTTCTAATTATATTTTGTGTGAAACCATATTAATATCAAAAGGCATCACATTGAAGTGGGAAATTGTTGGTTTTAACTCTACCCTTTATTTATTGCAAAATGTGACATTCCTGCCAAAAGTGAGTGCATTAAATGTATATGTACAGTTTAAAAAATGGTTATAAAAACAAACACCAGTGCAACCACCACCTAGAGTGAAGTACAATCTTACAGGCACCTGGAACTCTGGTGTGCTCTTCCTCCTTTCTAGAGTTACCTCAGTGTCACTGTTTATTGCTTTTACTTAGAGTTTACTACCTATTTCTCTATTCCTAATGATAAAGTTTAGTTTTGTTTGTATCATACTATATGTGTGTGTGTGTCTGTGAAAATGCACAATCCCATTTTGTACCCTGAATGCCTCCTTGTCTCACTCTAGAGTTAGTCCTGTTCTTGTGTGTATAGCTGTGGCTCATCTTTTTCACTGCTGTTTAATATTCCATTAGGAAGAATATACCACCATTCACTTATGCATTGTATTAATGAATATTTGGGCTATTTCTGGTTGTGATTTCATGGATAATACCAAACCTTATATATATTATGTTTTTTCCTATATGTACAAATCTTTTCACTTAAAGGAAGCAATTGATAGTTTCTCTTTGGTGTACCTGAATTGTCAGCCTCACTACTCTTGTGCTTTGGGGTCATTATTAAGTAAAACAAGGGTGGCGTGAGCACAAGCACAATGATGCCTCTACAGTCGGTCTGATGCCTGAAGCAGCAACTAAGTGACTAACCGGTAGGGAGCATATACAGATGGAGACACTGGACAAAGGGATGATTCATATCCCAAACGGGATGGAGCGGGACAGTGCAAGATTTCATCACACTACTCAGAACAGCTCACGATTTACATCTTGTGAGTTATTTCTGGAATTTTTCCATTTAATAGTTTTGGACTGTGGTTGACCAAGGGTAACTGAAACTGGGTTATTGAAACCAAGGACAAGGGGATGGGGGACCATGCTATTTCAGACTCATTCTGGATAGTTAATGATAAAACATGTCAATCCAGCCCTGGCCGGTTTGGCTCAGCGGTTAGAGTGTCAGCCTGTGGTCCAGAGAGACCTGGGTTTGGTTCCCGCTAAGGGCACGTACCTCGGTTGCAGTTTGTCCCCAGCGCTGGTTGGGTTGTGCGGGAGGCAGCCACTCAATGTGTCCCTTTCACGTCGATGTTTCTCTCTTTCTCTCTCTTCCTCTCTCTCCCTCCCACTCTATCTGAGCAGAAAATGGAAAAATGTTCTCAGGTGAGGATAAAAACAAAACAAAACATGCCAATCCAATGCAAACATAATTTTATTGTAAATCTAGTATTTTAGCAATAATGGGAAATATTGTTCATTTTAATATCTTTCCTTTCTAGACACACACACACACACACACACTTTACCTAAAAATGTGGTCAGCTACTTTTGCAGGCTAGAGTAGCATTCAGGACACAATGCAACATGGACCCAGCTGTTTTTCCTTGCTCTTCCCCCATATCCTTTAGTTTTCCTTTTTGTTGTTGTTGTTGTTGTTGTTCAGGTAGAGTGGGAGGGAGAGAGAGGAACAGAGAGAGAGAGAGAGAGAGAGAGAGAGAGACATTGACGTGAAAGGGACACATCGAGTGGCTGCCACCCGCACAACCAACCAGGGCTGGGGACAAACTGCAACCGAGGTACATGCCCTTAGCGGGAACCGAACCCGGGTCTCTCCGGACCGCAGGCAGAGGCTCTAACTGCTGAACCAAACCGGCCAGGTCCCATATCCTTTAGTTTTGTGGGTCTTTACAAGGGACATAAAAGTGAATCATGCACCCTGGCCAGTTTGGCTCAGCGGTTAGAGAGTTGGCCTGCAGACCAATGAGTTGCGTGTTTGATTCCGGTCAAGGGCACGTTCCTCGATTGTGGTTCGTCCCCGGCCCTGGGCAGGGTCGTGTGGGAGGCAGCCAGTCGATGTGCCCATCTCACATCGATGTTTCTCTCTTCCTCCCTTTCTCTCCCTCCCACTTTATCTGAAGATAAATAGAAAAAATATCCTCAGGTGAAGATTAAAAAAAAAAAAAAAGAATCATGCAAGATAATCTTAAATTGATTAGAGGCAGATGTCTGTTCAGGACTCCTGTTTTCACTAGCCCTGGTTTACCCGGCTCTGGGGAGGGCACGTGCACCGTGAGCTGTGTAGAGCTGAGCCTGTGCAAATGTCAGGTTCGGTGATGAAATGTGTACAGCATGCTCCTTCTCTCTGAAGCACTTGAAACACATATCCAAGGGATCACCATACCTACTGTTTCCATCACATGTTCTGTGATGAAATTTGCTGGTCAAACATCATTATTTCACTTATTGGACTGTTTGAAATTTGATACCTAACTTGGAATATCCCTTTTGTTGCAAGCAGTGGTAAAAGAGAAAAATCAGGGCTAGTGATTAATTTCACTTTATTGAAGCACCAGTTATGTAATAAAGAGGTGCCCTTCCAGCGTGGCTCACAAACCGATCCGAATAAACTAGCAAAGAATTTTGGGAAATTTGCCTTCATTGGAAAATACATTTTAAATTAGAACAACAGATCTAAAATGGCACTTATATTTGTGCTTATTTGCATATATTACCATTTAAGATGAAATTGGGAAATATTTGGTTACACTAATATTTGAATAGAGTTACATAATATAGTTATTGAAAGCTTAGTTTATAATAGTGAAATGTACCCCCCCCCCCATGTCTAAACTTTATGCAAGGTTCCTTTATATAACTGGTTTCCAAATAAGGAAAGGAATTGCAGATAAGGAATGAGATCATTTATTCTTTACACTGGGTCTTCATGAAAACTCATCTGTTCTTTTGCTTCATTTTTTTAGCGTTTATATCACATCTCACAAAGTTTTTCTCCTGGGTTGGGTGAAGTTGTAGGTCATCCAAGTTTTCTGAGCAAAATGTCATTCTGAATAGAAAACATAAAGCAAACACAGCATTAAGTTTTAGATGGAGCTTATTGAAATATTTCATCCTTTGTCAAATATTCAATTGATATAACACACGCTATGTTTTTTTCTTTTTAAATTAGATTCTTATGTTTGCAAATATTTTCTTAACTCCAGAGAAAAGCACAACCGAAGTCGGTGAAAGCAGCCAGTGTAAGGCTTCTGGAGCTCTAGTCGGGGTGACTCCAGTTGTAAGGAACAGAAAGTCCCCCTTTGTCCTCCCTGTACCTGCTCATCACAGATTTGAGGGTAGCTGCTGTTCCTTTCACTACCTCGTCCTGACTCCTGGCAAACATTCGCAACTTCTACTCCTGTTCACTCAGACAGGTTCACTCCAGCCTTCCTTCAGGGCGCCCTCCCGTTTGTCACTGCTGGTCTTACAGGTCCCTGGGCATGAGGCCAGTGACACCAGCCTCTGCCTGGCTCAGTCGTGTAGGCCCTGCCCTGTCCTCTCTCTGGTGCAGACCTTGTCCAGCCGAAGGGGACGTCACAATTGTTTGGGCCTCTCTTGGAGACCAGCAGCTAGACCGCTTTGACCAGTAGCTTGGCCTGTGGAGCTACTTTGTTTTACTAGCTTCAACTGCACCTATTAGAAAAAAATTAGCAGTAGTCAGACAAAAACGGCACGGTATCACTTACATGTGAAATCTAAAAAGAGTTGGACTCATAGAGAAAGCATAGAAAAGTGGTTGCCAGGAGCGGGGGGAGGGGAATAGGGAGCAGTTGGTAAAAGGGTCTAAACTTTCAGCTACAGAATAAGGTCTGACGCTCTAATGTAAAACATGATGACTATAGTTGGTCACACTGTACGTTATAAATGAAATTTGCTAACAGAATACATGTAAATGTCCTCAAAACAAAATAATGATAAATATGTGAGGTGATGAATGTGTTAACTTCGGGTGGAATCCACAGTGTATTTGTACAGGGTGGGGCCAAGGTGGGTTTACAGCTGTAACTAATAACTGATACAGTAATTAGTAAATAGTAATGTAAGAATAAACTCTGTTTTGTGTACTCACCACTGTAAATCTACTTGGCACAAATCACAGTGAGGTACACTTTAAATATCTTACAGTTTTGTTTGCTAGGGTTAAAGCCGAAATAAAAGTGTCATGAGTAATCTATAAATGCATTCTTGAAAAAGCAAATAATAGAGAATAAAGTCAAATATTAAAGATCCTCTCCGTGCCCTGGCTGGTTTGGCTCAGCGGTTAGAGCGTCGGCCTGCGGTCCAGAGACCCCGGTTCAGTTCCCGCGAAGGGCACGTACCTCGGTTGCAGTTTGTCCCTGGTCCTGGATGGAGTCGTGTGGGTGGCAACTACTTGATGTGTCTCTTTCACATCGATGTTTCTCTCTCTCTCTTCCTCCCTCTCTCCCTCCTGCTCTATCTGAAGATGAATGCAAAAATGTCCTTGGTTGAGGGTAAAAAATATAAAAAGATCCTTTTCGTCCCCCTCACCAGTGTCCCTCCCTCCTCATTTCAGGGCTTGGACTCTGTCTTTCCAGTGCGTTCACACATATGTCAATGTTTATATGCAAACATAAAGGTTTTTCTGTAGGTATTTTTCTGAAAAATTTTCTTGTTACCAAATCACATACTTGGAGACGGGTCATGTTAGTGCACATAAATCTTTTCATTCTTCCCCACCTGCGGCATCGCATCCCACTGTGCACAGAGACACATTTCCTACTGATGGACACAGACTTTCCCAGTGCAAACAGTACTGCGGCAGACACTGTGCATATATACCCCTTGCAGACCGAATTAGTGTTTCTCCAGGACAGACGCCTAGAAGTGAAATGCCATGTCATGTCACAGGCTTGGCCAAATATATTCCGCATATGTGGAATTTTGATAACGTAAGCTCCCTGAGACCAAGGCCTTTGTCTCGTCTGTTCACTGCTGTGTGTCCAGTGCCCACAATAGCGCCGGGCATAAGGTCGGTGTCGCCCAATGCCAGCTGTCGAGTGGAATTCCCGCAGAAGCTCTGTCATTGTACTCTCACCCCTGGGGTAGGAGAATGCCCATCGCTCCACACCTTCTCCAACTCTGGATGTGATCTGTCTTTTAATTCCTGCCAAACTGATGGCTGACCAGAGATAAATTCACTGATTTTTGTTTTGAATTATATGATGACTGTGGAAATTGAACATCTCATTACAGTTAGCCAATTGCTTTTGATGTCCTTCTGTAGGGCTAACCTTCTCTGCCCTTTCTCCTCAGCCCAGAACAGACCCTCTGGTCTGACTTCGTGCCTTGGGAGGGAAGAATCTCCCGTGGAGTCACAGAGCAAGCGCCGGACCAACCCCGCCCCGGTAGTCAGCAGAGGGATTAAGAGTGTGAGGCTAAGAGTCTGCGTCCTGGCTCTGGGATTTTGGTTTGTAGAAGGTAATTAAAAATTAGTAATTGTTATTAGTCTCAGGAGCTACATAATTCCCATTTATTGCTAAAGAGTGGAGTCTCAGAGAGGTTCGGTTATTGTCTCCATTATTCTACATGTTTATTCTGCAGAGGTGGTAAGCAGTGAAGTCAGAGTTAGAGTTCAGGACTGGCTGATGGAGCGGCCATTAGCTCCTGCTTCGTATCGCTTTGCTCCCCGCCTCTCTCTGGGAGCGCCTCCTGGCCTCCTCAAACCCGTCGCAGCACAGCCCCAGCACCACCAACCTGAACTGACGACTTTCTTCTTGAACTTCCTAGGCCATGCAGTACCAGACCCTCGCTAGTCCAGGTGTGGTCCATGGACTCACAGCATCAGCAGCACCAGGGAGCTTGTTAGAAAATCAGTCTCATGCCCCACCCCAGACCTACTGAAGCAGAGCTGCAGTTTAACACGATTCCCAGGTGATCTGTGTGGACATTTAGGCCGGAGAAGCCCAGGGTTGAAGCACATTATTAGTAAAATTAATGCATCTTGTTTTCATTTATGCGAAGAGCCACAGCTCAGACGTTTTTGTTGGTCTTCCCGAGTCATGTCTGGTACTGTGACGACACACAGAGGCGCCGAGTACTGACTTACTGATCAAAAACTACAGGTCCCATAGCCCCTCCCCTCTTTTCAGCATGCGCCTCCCACAGCCACAGGAAGGGTTTAATTCCACGTACGGTAGTGTCCAGGGCTGCACTCTTAGAGGACACCGAGGAAAGTCGGATCAGTGGGGCCAAGAGTATTGCAAGAAGGACCCGCTGGAGACAGTGCACGGGCAACAAATGGCCATGCTGGGACAAACCCGAGCCAGGTCTGGGCTTGCACAATTATTAGCCAAGTCCCCAAGCGGTGTGACTTCTGTGAGCCTAAGATTCCAAGTCTGCACGGTCAATGCCACCCGTTTCCGAGGGTCACTGGGGAGATTACATGAGAGCACTGCTCAGGGGCACGGAGTTCAATGCCCGCCAGGCTGTTGGAGCTCGGCAATGCCCTTCCCTTCCTTCTTCTCTTTCCTTCTTTTTTTATTTTTCATTTATTGACTTTTTAGAGAGGAAGGGGAGGGAGGGATGGGAAGAGAGAGAGAGAGAGAGAAACAGCGATTTGGTGTCCCATTAATTTATGCGTTCATTGGTTGATTCTTGTATGTGACCTGACCAAGAATTGAACCCGCAACCTTGGTGTATCAGGATGACACTCTAACCAACTGAACTACCCGGCCAGGGCCTCCTCTTTCCTTCTCGAGAGCCACAACATAAACACCAGTGGAGAAGGTAGTGTTGTCTTTCATACAACCTTTCAGGTCAAGTCACATAGAGCTCACCGTGAAGCCACTAAGCAGAGGCATTACTCTCCAGCTGAGAGTGTGTGAGTGTGTGTGTGTGTGTGTGTGTGTGTGTGTGGGGGGGGGGTGATGTGCTTAGACAGTGCTGATGTAAAGGCCAAAGAGTCAGGCAAGAACAGCTAAGCGTAGAAGAGGAGGGAAGCAGTTTAATTTTCCAAATTGATCATGTGGAGAAATCCGTTGGCAGACTGTAGAGTATGCTCTCCACAGTTGCCAGGATTGTGTGTCCCAGGAAGATAAAATCTGAGTGCAGTTGTGGGAGGGACTCAGGGGGCATAAGTCTGCTCTGGGCTCCTCCTGGCATGAAACCTGGAGAGTGAGGGAGGCATGTAGTTCAGCAGTGAGGGACCTGCTGTTTTCCATCCCTCCTGGGGACGAGCCAAGAGAGAAATGTGCTTCCGAACAAAGACAGTGGGAGAGGAGAGACAAGTGTCCCGAACGCAGGGGGAAGGGGTAGGAAAATGTCTGGGGAGCACAGAATCTCCTCTCATGGAGACTTGCAGAACTATAGACAAATACGGTTGCCATGGCAAATATGCTGGGCATCTCTTTGCTCTGCTGAGAGGGCTGAAGTAGCAGTTAGAGACTTTCTTTCCTTTTTTCCCTGTCTCCTCCCCAAGGACCGTGGGGCCGAGGGAGATGTTAAATCACACAGAGCAGCATTTCTCAAGGGTAATCCAGGGTTCCACGTCAGGATTTCTCAGTAACAGTGTGTGTCCTGGGTTCCTTCACAGACCTCAGTGAGTCAGAAGCTCTGCAGGTGGAATTATGCATATTTAATACACTCTCCAGTGATCCTCTGGCACTGTAGGGTTTGAAAAGCGCCACTACGGAGTAAGATTTTGCAATTGTGATCTGTCAAAAGCATTCCTCTGAGTAAGCAACAAAAAAGAAATGTCGAATCTGGGTGCTTGCCGCTCAAAGTGTGACACTTGGACCAGCAGCGCTGACATCACCCGGTGATGCGTCCACATGCTGGGATTTGGGAAGTGCTGGGTTAGTGAGGTGGTTCTCAAACTCCGCAGGCAGGCGACTTGAACACAGACTGGGACTCAGAGGACCCAGACACAGATCCTGGTCCTTCCACCTATGGCTGAGTGAACCTGGGGTGGGCATTTCACCTTTCTGAGGGTCCGTCCTCCATTATTAGTACATAATAATGCCCACTTTATAAGATCAATGCAAGTATTACCTTATAAAAGTGCTGGCACTTGTAGATGCTTAATAGATGTTAGGAGGAGGTCGAATCAGCACTCACCTTTGCTGGGTTTCTCCTGCTTTGACTTTGATGCTCTTTAGAACAAGGCCCGAGTAGAGGGGCCCGCTGCCCCATGGAATGATGGTCTGGACCGTGTTCCAGACATTGGCCCATACTGCGCTGTTTTCCCACTTGAATTTGATTGAGACCAGCTCGCCAATATCCGAATCCAATGTGATAAGAAAGGAATAGGTTTTATTATTGGTAATTCCTTCGCCCCTTGAAGATACAAAGAAAACCAGACACAGTCAGTTTCTTTGTAACAGCAAAGTGATGCTTAGATACATTCAGGATGTGTTAGGCTTGCCTGTGTGACTTGAGACGGCCGTTTCTGCTACATTTCTCAAACGTGTTGGACAGATTATTCTTCGAGATAAGCAATAGATACACCAGGATACAAAAGGGGTTTCTAGACCAGTAACATTGAAAAAACCGTACTGTTTTCTGTGGTAGCCTATTATAAAGGCTCTGAGAGTTCCATAATAAAAAAAAAAATCTAGTTAACTTTGGTTAGCGCAGGCTTCCTAGTTTTTATGTGAACAAATTGGGAAAACTGCCCATGAGACAGTGGGCTTTGGCGACGGCCTCTGCGTGCTCCGCTCTCTGCAGGGTGGATGAGCAGAGCAGAGCTCACCACGGCCTCCTCTCCCCCAAGGCTTGTCTCTCCCCATACAAACAGAAGCTTCTTTTAAACAACAGAGCATAACAGTAATAGGAAACCATGTATTAAAAGGATGCACTGATTTAGAGCCAGATTTCAGGGCACAGTCATCGGTATCCTCATTATCAGTTGACTCACTAATCTCCAAGACATTAAAAATGTCCCAACAGTGAGAGCACCTGGACACCCTTCGCACTCTTAGAACAATCCCCCAGGGAGAGGTCTGGGACAGGGCGTGGGTAACATTAGATTTAGGGTGAGACAGACGGATAGAGAGTTTCTTTGATTGGCTCATTATAATTTCCTGCAGAATGCTGTGGGGAATCACTGGGGCGTCCTGAGGGTCCTCCCTGCCTCTAGAGCAGAGCACCAGCAAGTACTTCCCGACCCACTGAAGCAGTGTGAGGGTCAGACACCAAAGCCTGGGGGCAAATTTTGAAAGCTGAGCCGTCCCTGGAGTGAGTGAAAGGTTAGTGTCACTTCTAAGAAGAGCACACACTGAGAGCAGAGATGCGGAGAAAGAGCAGCTATTGGGCCTTTTCTAGCCAGGGAGCCTCCGAGGGAGGCGCGAGGCCACTGCGTGTGCTGGGAGCAGGTGTGTAACAGGACGAAGGACAGATGGGAAGGGCTGGCATGCAGGCGGGCTGGGATGGGAAGTTGGTGCCAAGTTGAATGATACCAGTTTTATTTCTGGGCTACTTTTCAGAAATCACTGGAAAGGCACTCAGGGCCTTCCTGTGGACACCTGCTCTGGCCTCACCCCTCCTCCCTGCTCGTATCTACCTCCTGCACTGCGCTCAGCCCACACGGCAGTGGGCCCGCCCCCTCCACAGGCAACACCAGGCAGTGGGCCCGCCCCCTCCACAGGCAACACCAGGCAGTGGGCCCGCCCCCTCCGCAGGCAACACCAGGCAGTGGGCCCGCCCCCTCCACAGGCAACACCAGGCAGTGAACCCGCCCCTCCACAGGCAACACCAGGCAGTGGACCCGCCCCCTCCACAGGCAACACCAGGCAGTGAGCCCGCCCCCTCCACAGGCAACACCAGGCAGTGGGCCCGCCCCTCCACAGGCAACACCAGGCAGTGGACCCGCCCCCTCCACAGGCAACACCAGGCAGTGAGCCCGCCCCCTCCACAGGCAACACCAGGCAGTGGGCCCGCCCCCTCCACAGGCAACACCAGGCAGTGGGCCCGCCCCCTCCGCAGGCAACACCAGGCAGTGGACCCGCCCCCTCCGCAGGCAACACCAGGCAGTGGACCCGCCCCTCCGCAGGCAACACCAGGCAGTGGGCCCGCCCCCTCCGCAGGCAACACCAGGCAGTGGGCCCGCCCCCTCCGCAGGCAACACCAGGCAGTGGACCCGCCCCCTCCGCAGGCAACACCAGGCAGTGGGCCCGCCCCCTCCGCAGGCAACACCAGGCAGTGGGCCCGCCCCCTCCGCAGGCAACACCAGCGTAAAGCAATTGGTGGGACTGGGTGAGGCCAGGGAGGGATGATGAGGCGTTGGTTTGGGTGGATGTCTCATCTGCTAGGATGTTTGGGGCAATGATCATGGGCTGAGAAGAGCGGGTTGAAAAGTTTCGAGTCCATCCAGTCCCGGTGAGAAAACAGCCTGTCACCATAGAGAGGTTGCTCCTCATACTCACAGGGTGACGGGGATCTTCTGCATCTCCTCTTCCGTTCCCAGGAGCGACATGGTAAACGTGGGCTCCACCGGCTTCTCAATTTGGTTGAGGAACTGGATCTTGAACTGATAATGATACACTGGGAGCAGGGAGGGGATAGGAGGGAGAGAGAAAGAGAATTTAATCAGACAAATTTAAAATTAAAAGTCTCATGTTTAAAAAATTTTTAAATGCAGAGGGAAAAGCCTGAATGGATAGATAATCCAGTTACAGCCCCCACCCCCCGGGTGGTGGAATTGTGAATGCTTTTTATTTTCTTCTTTTTCTTTCTCTGTATTTTCTAAATGTCTATAGAGGACATATATTATGTCTGCAAAATAATAATAATTATTATCCAACAAAAGAAGGTAGAACAGGAGTACAGCATGGCCACGTTTCTGAATGCAATTCTGTTGGATATCCCAGGTGCGTGGTAGGGGTCCCCTTTCATAGATCAAAGGGTTTGTGCCCTTTAAGCCCTGCAAAGGGCGAGAGAACACACGGACATTTTTACTTTAGCCTCTGTTTGATGGGCAGTGTTGGGTGAGGCAGAACTCTGGCTAAGACATATGCCCCAATGACCACAGCTCTATATTCTGGGGCAGTTCCTGGGAATTAGCCCTGGGGGAGGGGGGTTCAATGAGCACATTTTCCAATGGAAATAAGATAACTCGAGTTCTAGTACTTGGGCCTAAAAGTGCTCTTTTTTTTTTTTTATCCTTACCCAAGGACAATTTTGCATTTATCCTCAGATAGAGCGAGAGGGAGAGAGGGGGGAAGAGAGAGAGAAACATTGATGTGAGAGAGACACATCGACTGGTTGCCACCCTCACGACACCAACAGGGGCTGGGGACAAACTGCAACCGAAGAACATGCCCTTAGCGGGAACCGAACCCGGGACTCTCTGGCCCGCAGGCCAACGCTCTAACCGCTGAACCAAACCAGCCAGGGCAAAAGTTCTCTATCTTATCAAATGTCCAGAATATACTTCTACTGGGTTGTTTGGAAGAGGAAATTTTATTTTATTCTTCTTTGCCTAAATACAGTCTATATTTCACCAATAAAAAACAAACAAATTGCTTACTAGTAGGCAGGTATTGTTAAATATTTCCCATTGCATCATCTCATTAACTTGTCATAACAACTCTGTGAGGTAGGTAGTGTAATTATCATCTTTATTTTATAAATCAGAAAACTAGGGCTCAGAGAGGTGAAGTGACTAGCTCAAGGTCACACAGCAGCATCTGTGCTCTTAGCCTGGACCTATTGCAAGGTTTCTAAGATGGCCTTGGCTTTGCCTGCAATGTCATACCAACCAGCTGTGGGCTGTTTTCAAAATTCCTCTCCCTCATTCCAAATTGGCTGATGGCTGCTCAGACTTCTTTTTCTTGCTGTGTCCATATTTTCTAAGTACCTGTAGTGTTTTAGCTCCAAGATTGCAAACAGGTTTAATATGGCATGTTAATTGAAAGGCTGCCTAGAGCCCTATGTTGAAATGGGTTCTGAGACCATGCCCAGGCTCTTGGGAAGACTAGTGTCTGTCTTGAGCAAAGGATAGGGGATTTATGGCATGCTTGCTGCATACTTGCCTTTCCGAGTCTAAACAACAACTAATCCACTAGTCCTGATACAGTGCCTTGCACACAGTCGGTGCTTACTAAACATTTGTGGGATGAATGACCAAGTTTGCTTGGGAGTATTAGGATATGAATTAACATTTAGCAAGATGGAAAATCACTTCTGAGAATTCAAGGCTTGAGTTTCAAGCTTTTTTATATGAGAATTCTTACTGGGTAGCATACATCCTAGAACTAAACACTTGGTCATCCATATCATGTACCCTGCATGTGGAAATCTATCCCCTCATGAATCATTCTACTAACTCGTAAATGGTGCATTTCTACTGGAGGTTGGTAGCTACACACAAACCTAGCAGCTGTGGCGAATGGAGTGTTGCCAACGGCCCAGCTGCAGGGTGTGCCTGGATTGCTGGGTTTCTGGGTTATTTACACAAACCTACCCTTTAGCATAAACCAATCTTCCCATTTGGGTTTTGTGGTGGATTTACTCCAACGACCTGTACATAATAGATCCTTAAATCCTCCAGCCCAGAATAAAGTAGTTTGATACTCTCAGAACTATGAGACGGTGGATGAGAAATAAGATAAGTGCTGTGGGTCAAGTCCCAGAAGGGTCTATGAACCTTTGGGTGGCAGCAATGAAGACAAGGGCTTTGGCCTATCATCCCAGAAGCCTCTGGAGAGGTCTTACACTATTTAAGGACTGTCTAGGGATCTCTGTCACAAGAAACAGTGTTACAAGTTGAACTAAGGCCAAAGGAAAGGTCGTCCCAAAGACACAGGCCATAGGCATGGGCGGGGGAGGTGGGTATGATGTGGACAGGATGAGGTGGGAGGGCCGAACGGGGGGTGATCTCCTAATCAGGAGGCAGGGCATCTTCCAGAGGAGCCAAGAAACACTACTAACAACCAATTTTAACCTTGTTTAATATGTATTAATTGGAAGTCTACTGGGGTTCAGCCCAGTGCTAAAAGCTGTCAGAGATAAAGTAAGGGTGTAGCTGGCAGTATGCATGATGATAATGTTGGCTAGTGTTTATTTTAACTGTGCCAAATATTTTGCATTTATTATCTCTTTTAATCCTTACATCATGATCTGTTAGAGTGGAGGTAACAGAAGCATAGAGAGGTTAAGTGACTTTTCCAGGACCACACAGGCATAGCTGGGATGTAAGTACAGGCCATCTGGCTCCAGAAATTAAACCTGAGACCAATAGCTTTCTATACCCCAGGGGAAAAGCTGAAGCGTGGAAAGAAGATTTAAGTTAAAACATGTCTTAACAGAATTATTTAATTACAAATAAATCAGAAACACTGTAAATATTCACGAATAGAGGAATGACTATGGACTGTTAATGACCATTGTGATAACTCTCAGGTAGCTCTTTGCTAGGTCCCAGACACTGAGCCAATGGTTTCCCATAAGTAAATACTTCGTTTTGCTTTGCAACAACTTTGTAAGATGCCTGCTTCCTTCTCCCTCCCGCGTCACTGGACCAATGAAGAAGCGGAAGGTAAGCGACGTGTCTGTTGTCGTGCGGTGACGACCCGGTGAGCTGCAGTTAGACGCTGGTCTGCTGATTCTGAGCTCAGATTCCCAGCCATGTGATTTACTCCTATAAGTTCATTAAGAGATCCTTTCGGAATGATTTCAATACTTATGAAAGAAGTGGGGGGAAAACTCCAAACAATAACCAGGCTATTAAACCGTCTGCGTCCTGTGAGGCTGACGAAGACAATGCACAGGGGAGGCAGTCAGAGCTGAGGAGTCTGTCTCAGAGGCCAGAGAGCTCCTCTTCATTCTCGTCTCTGCTTTCCTACACGTCCCGCATTGTCACAATAAGCGTGCATTTTATTAGCATCTCACTGGAAGAAAAAAGTTTTAAAAAATACCAAGAAAGCTTCTGGCTGGTTGGCTCAGCAGGACCGAAGGGCTGAGGGTTCGATTCCAGTCAAGGACACATACCTGGTGGCAGGTTCGATCCCTGGCCCCGGTTGGGGCATGACCTCTCTCCCCCTCCCTCCCTTCTACTCTCTCTAAAAATCAATGGAAAAATATTCTCGGGGAAGGATTAACAACAACAACAACAACAGAAAGTATTAAGAAAACGAGAAGCAGAACTGTGGTCCTGGCCTGAGGGGTTTGCAGCTGGGAAGGCTTCTGTGCCTCTTTTCACCCTCTGCCTGATGGGCACCGGTGCCCATTCTACCTCCCGAGGGCATTCTTGCTCATAGTGATGCAGCATGTCCCCAGGTCACAGCACGCACCAGGCGCCTAAGGACTGCTTAGGGCTCTTTGTGTGAAAACAAGGCAGGACACACGCTGCAATGAAGGCCCTACGTGTAAATAGGACCAATGAGGAAATAGTTCCCATTTGTTGAGATCGAACTATGCATCAGGCCACATACTAAATGTGTTACACACATTATTTCTGTCCTCATAACAAGACTAAATAAGGACAACGTGCTGCTTAGATGGCGTTTTCTACATCTACTCTTGCTGTCTGCATCCACTTTCTGCCCGGCTCTGGACTCCAGGATGTGAGCCCATGGCCTGCATGGCCTGGGTCGCCTTGCAGGACGCCTTGTGGTCGAAACTGACCTCCGGGGAGGCACCAGCAGGAGATCAGAGCGAGGCTCCTTCCTGCCCTGGAGCCTGACAACACAGTAACTGCACCCCACTCCTCCACAGCGCCCTTTCCTGGGCTATTCCCTCCCCTCACTCTTTCTGGCCTGTTGTCAGATCCGGGGTGCATTGACACCCTGTGCTCATTTCTTTAAAACTGTCTGCCAAGGGTAAGGAGTCCTGCCTGCTCTCTTTTGCTGACCCAGGCCAGTGGAGTCCTGTTTTCTGCTGAAACCTAGACAGATAGGGTGTCAACCATCCTGGTGCATTACAGATAAGGAGGCAGAGACTTGGAGACCTGTCCAAGGTCACCCAGATACTTAGAAGTGGAGGAGAATTTGAACCCAGTTGCCTGTGTGATTCCAAAAGACCCTCCCCACTGTCTCCTGGGGCTCCGGTTCTACAAGCTGAATCTACCCTTTGAACACAAAAGGCAGACCCTCAGCCCCCGAAGAAAATCTGTGGTCAAAACCTGCTCGACAAAGGCACCAAGACCAAGTGCCTGCCGCTCCCACCCCTGGACATCCATCCTGGGCTATCACTGCTGTGGGATCCTCCCACCCGTCCCTCGAATGTTCTCCCTGAGTGGGGATGCACGTTTCCTGTCTGTGTGCTGGAGATGGGTTTTTGTCTTCCTTTGTTCTTAAATTGCCAGTAGGAGGAGATTGATTTCCATGTCTTAGATGCCATGGTTCCCCGATTCTGGGGAGGGTGCTTGTGTAAAACCCAGGTCCGCTTATGATTGCAAAGGACCCTTCAGCTCTCATATCCTATGAAGGAGAATCATCTGTCTCTCCTCCTCACCCCTCTGCAGAAAGTCAGAACCTCCAGAGGTGTGAGCTGAAACAGGCCTGAGTGAGCTCACAGAAAAGGTGTGGACAGTGGAGGAGGGA